CAAAAAAAAAAAAAAAAAAAAAAAAAAGCAGGCATGGTGGTGGGCATCTATAATCCCAGCTACTCGGGAGGCTGAGGCAGAACTGCTTGAACCCAGGAGGTGGAGATTGCAGTGAGCTAAAATCACACCATCGCACTCCAGCATGGGCAACAAGAGGGAGACTCCATCTCAAAAAAACCAAAAGGGGACAGCAGTGGCGGGAGAGGCCAGCATCTGAACACCCCATCCGGGTCCCCACCGTGTGTGCCCCCAGCCCTAACAGATCCTCTCCTCCTGCAGGTCTTCGCCTTGATCGTGTTCTCCTGCATCTATGGCGAGGGCTACAGCAACACCCACCAGTCTAAGCAGATGTACTGCGTGTTTAACCACAATGAGGACGCCTGCCGCTACGGCAGTGCCATCGGGGTGCTGGCCTTCCTGGCCTCAGCCTTCTTCTTGGTGGTCGATGCGTATTTCCCCCAGATCAGCAGCGCCACTGACCGCAAGTACCTGGTCATTGGTGACCTGCTCTTCTCAGGTATCTGCCTGTAGCACCTCCATCTGATCCTGGGAGGTGACTAGGAGGGGGAGGCATTAACTCTAGGCTCCTGGGTTGGAGGGGGGGTTCGGTGTCTCTGGGAGGGGCGGGGAGCAGCTCACTCCTTCAGGGCGTTTTTAGGAAAGGGTTTTCAGCTAGTGTTTCTCCTTGCTTGAATAGCGCCAGCCCTGCCTGGAGTAGCTAGAAGCTGAGTGGAGCCCCAGCACACCCAAACAGATGGGCTTTGCCTCTTCCCCGTTGTCCCCTGGGCTGTCTGCTGGGACCCACTGTGCTGAGGCCCCAGTACAGGTGGGCTTTGGAGGTGGATCCCAGCTGGGCGTCCAAGTCCTTCCCTCCATGCTGTGGAGGCTCCCCGGAGGTTCCTGCCTAGGCCCTGCCCTACCTGCCCATGTCCCCTTCCAGAGTCCTGGAAAGCCCCTCCCCTACCGTGGAACTGACGCCCCACCCGTCCTCCCCCAGCTCTCTGGACCTTCCTGTGGTTTGTTGGCTTCTGCTTCCTCACCAACCAGTGGGCGGTCACCAACCCGGCGGACGTGCTGGTGGGGGCCAGCTCCGCGAGGGCGGCCATCACCTTCAGCTTCTTTTCCATCTTCTCCTGGGTAGGTGGGCCAGGGGCCGGTTCTTGGGTAAAGGGTGGTGGAAGGTGGGGTCCCCTACCCACCTGTACCTGTGTGCTCCCCCTGCAGGGTGCACTGGCCTTCCTGGCCTACCAGCGCTACAAGGCTGGCGTAGATGACTTCATCCAGAACTACGTTGACCCCACCCCAGACCCCAGCACTGCCTATGCCTCCTACCCAAGTGCATCTGTGGACAACTACCAACAGCCACCCTTCACCCAGAATGTGGAGAGCACCGAGGGCTACCAGCCGCCCCCTGTGTACTGAGGTGGCCTGGGTGGGCGGTGGGGTAGAGAGGGCCCTTCCATCTGCCCTGAACGTTCCCAAGAGCCTCCTGGACCTGCCAGCCCCTCTCCTTGGCGTGTCACGTCCTGTGCCCTCCCTGCCTGGGGGGCTGGCAGAGCCACACCCCAAGTGCCTGCGCCCAGGGCTTCAGTCAGTCACTCATTCCTCCAGGGCACTTTTAGGAAAGAGTTTTTAGCTAGTGTTTCTCCTTGCTTTTAATGACCCCAGTCCCGCCTGGAGTGGCTAGAAGCCAGCAGGCACCCACATGCTACTGACCAGTGCCTTAGCTTTCCCCCAGCCCAGGTCAGGCTGTGGGAGCCACTGTTATCTGTGTTCTCTGCCAAAGACTCTTGGGGGGCCTTACACCTGCCCTGTGCATCGGGGCTGGGCCAGGCTCCTGCGTCCTCACTCAGGTTTGCTCCCACTATGCCCACTGCTGTATGATCTGGGGGCCAGCGGCCACTGGGCTGCCCCCCACAGTGTGGGGCAGGGCTAGTGCACACAGCACTTCCTCCTTGCTCCCACCCCTGGCAGCAGGGAAGGGCTTTGCCTGACAACACCCAGCTTTATGTAAATATTCTGCAGTTGTTACTTAGGAAGCATGGGAAGGGCAGAGGTGTCCCATGCCCCATGGCTCCCACTCTGTGCCGAATGTATTATAAAGCCTTGGGGGCGACGCCCGGCCCTGGGATGCTGTTTGGAGAAGGAATAAATGTTTTCTCATTCAGTCTCCATTGCCATTGGTTGTGCCAGAGCCTAGGGGTCGGAGGAAGAGACTCCACTCTGGGTACACCCTTAGGGGCTGGCTTTATGAAACTTGTATTTTACACAAGGCAGTGGCAGTGCACCCCCTCCAGCGTGCCTGGCTGGCCCCCTTTCAATCTGGGGTCGCATTCCGCACAAGCCTTTCATCCAGATCTTAAAATAGCAGCTGTGCTCATCTTGTTTACAAGATTATTTTTCTGGCCTGTGGTGCCAGGGTCCTGCTGCTCCCTTCTTAGTGTTGGGGTAGGGGTACCTGGGAGTTGCCCGCTGAATGCCCCTTCCCTCTCAGCCCTTTCTTAGCACTGAATGAGGGGTACCATGGGTAAGGCCACGTTTCTGCCTTCCTCCAGGGTTCAGCACCTCTGGACCCTTCCTGGGACACAGCAGGGAGTGGGCTTGGCCATCCAGCCCGCCCCTCAGAGATAAGGCCCATCTCTGGAAGAGGTCAGGGCCCTAAAGCAACCCTGGCTTCCTCTTTTGAGCAATGACAGAGTTGTCAATGGCAAGTCCCGAATGTTTAAAAATCTCCGGTACAAAGTAGCAGGGCGCTGCTCCCAACCTCACCCGATGGCTTTGGCTTGGGACACATCACTAGCAAAGGGGAGAGGAAGGCTGTGGAGGCCCTGGCAGCAGTGACCCTGTCTGCCCAGGGTACACCCCACCCCAGCAATGCCTGAGCCCAGGTGAGCTGCCAACAGCCTGTCTCTGAGGCACAGCTGAGAGGTGTCTTGACTCCTGAGCTACCCAGAGTGTGTTTCACAAAAACTGACCTCGAAGCTCCAGCAGGCAGGTATGTGCCTCGTCCTTCTGGCTGGCCTCTGGGCTCCCCTGTGCACCCATTTTTGTCCTGACACTGGCCCAGACAGGAAAGCAGATGATGTTCCCCTTAGGACACGCCCCATGATCATTTCTCAGTTAACCAGCTGTGGTTACAAGATCAGTGTTACTACAAAAAGATCTGGGGGCCAGGCCTGGTGCCTCACACCTGTAATCCCAGTACTTTGGGAGGCCAAGACAGGCAGATCACTTGAGATCAGTTGTTCAAGACCAGCCTGGTCAACATGGTGAAACCCCATCTCTACTAAAAATACAGAAATTCGCCAGGTGTGGTGGCACACACCTGTAATCCTGCCTACTCGGGAGGCTGAGCGGGGAGAATCATTTGAACTGGGAAAGCAGAGGCTGCAGTGAGCTGAGACTGCACCACTGCACTCCAGCCTGGGTGACAGAGAGCCTATCTCAAAACAAAACAAAAAGATCTGGAAGAAAATCCCCACCCACATCAAGTTGGCGCTGTCCATGAGACCCGGGGAAACCCAGCTTAAAGATAAATGAGCGTCCACCAACCAGTGAATTTTAAATTAGTTAATTTCATACACGACAGCGGAGACGTTGACCCTTCCCTCTCCCCACGAAGAGACAAGCACCTACGATCCAAGTCCCAGCGAGGCTGGTGCCACCCATGTGAAAGATGCTGTCATTCCTGTGGAAACCATCACCAGAGATAGGAAGGGTTTTGAGCCCAAAAGGAAGCAAGAGGGCATGAGTCCAGGCCATCCTCAGGGAGAGCAGGGGCCCATCCCAGGCAGAGGGGCCTAAGCCTCTATGGCCTAAAGCTTAAAGATGCTGGCGCAAGCTTCCCAGGGAGAACAGAAACTAAGCAGTGAAAGCCACAGAGGGGAAGAAGCAGGCTGATGTCAACAGCGTGTGGCTGTCCCTCACCCCAAGCAGGGGGAGTGTGCCAGATCCCAGGTCACCAGGCAGGGCCAGCTCCAGCCTGGGCAACCATCCCAGCAGGCAAGAAGGAAGCTAAGCAGGCTGGTGGGCAGGAGAGGAGAGAGCACATGGCAGGTGGGGCAGCCGCAAAAAGGAGACTTCCCAAAGGCGAGGTGTGGTCACCCTCCTGGTGCAGCCAGGCAGCATGGAGAGCAGTGCCCACTAGGCGGCAGCAGCTGGAAGAGAGTGGGCAGCCCTTCCAGGCCCCTCAGTTGGTGGAGCTACATTGCAGAATCTGCTGCGGGGCAAAGAGCTTCCTGGCAGCCGAGGCCTCCCCTGGCTTTCCTGGCACGGGGCAGTTCTCTTTGTTGTCCAGCCCGGCAGGCTGGCCTGAGGCCTTCTTGAAGTAGCAGAGGCGACACACAGAGTGATATTTGTCTGCTCCCCCAATCACTTCGACCTAGCCACAGGGACAGAGGATGGATGAAGGGCTGGGACAGGAAGGAGACAGAGCCACACCCCCACCGTGCCAGCCCGCAGAGAAGAGAGGTGGAGCTACCTCCTTTTCGGTGCCAAGCCTCTTGGTGTAGGCGGCTTCCCGGAAGCACTCCATGCATACTGCGGTCAGCTTCACCACGCTCTCGGCCAGAGGCACCAGGTTCAGGATGGTCCCGAATGCCTGCACTCCCATGGAGAGACAGTGGGCGCTCAGATACCTCACCAGGCAAGGTTTTCTTTTAAACCCTTTGATTCACAAGCACTGAAGCCAGGAAAGTTTGCTCTGACCTTAGTCCTCCCCCCAACCCCCAGAGCACCATGCCCGGCTCTGTCCCCTTGCCAATTCAAACCACCTGCCACAACAGATGGCACCTGGTCTGCGCAGACCAGGGAGTCCCTAGGCTCAGGCAAGGCCTGGTCTGAGCAGCTCGGCTGTGCCCCTGCAGTGGCTGGGCCCTGGCCACCCGGGGCTGGTGTCTCTGTGCACTGTCCTGTGCCCACCCAGAAGCCCCCTCCCCTCCTGGATCCAAGCTCCAGACCTGGATCAGACCCCTTACCTTCCTCTGGAAGGTCCCGTCCAGTGCAGCCACAATGACCGTCTTCCCGGCGTTGGCCATGGCCTCACAGAACTCCACAATGTCAGGGAACTGGAAAGGGCAGGTGGAGAAAGAGCGTGAGAGCTTCCACCCCAGCAGCAGCTCCCTGAAGCCCCAGCAGAGACGCTGCCAGATCTGACAACTCCCGACATTCATCCTGGAGCAACTCTAACTCTTCCATGAGGCTCCCCCGGCCGGGGACTGTCCATCTGCATGCCCTCCCAGCAGACGACAGGCACATCCACAACTGCCCAGCCCCTTCCCCCTGCAGCCAGCTTCTGCGCCAAGTCCAGGTGCCCAGGACTCAGCATCAGACGTCCACACCTGCTGTGCAGGGGCCAAAGGCTGGGGCTAGACACCTGCTGCCTGGGGCTCGGACACTGCTCGGAATCTGTGTGACCTTAGCAGTGAGTTAACATCTCTGAACCTGTTTCCTCTTCACTAAGAGATAGCAAGAAAGGTCCTGTTGTGTAAGGACAGAAGGCACCAAGTTATACACATGCACTTCAGCGAGTAGCTGGGCTTTTCGTGCTCTTGCCCCCCCCCCCCCTTTTAAACAGGCAATGTGCCTTGAGAAGGGGTAGGGGACCTACTGGCCATTTACAGAGCAGGATGACACAGCACAGCCTTCTAAATACAGGGCCGGCACAGAGCACATTTACTGCCTACATCAAATTTCACTTTGGCCCAGGGAGAAGCTGAAACTCTAGCAAGTGCTTTGGTGAGTCTCATCAATCAGTCATATTGCTTTTGGCTGGTTGAGTTCACATGTCCAGACTGGCCTTTGGGTTGGCTGAAGCGAGGATGTTCCTGTCCTTGGGTGCAGGTCTCTCTCCCAGAGCCCCTCACGCTTTCCTCAGCCCAAGTACTGAGGTTTGAGGTTATTAAGACGTGAGGGCTTAGCAAGGCGAGGACTAGGGGATAGCCGGGAAAATTCCAGTGCGATCCAGGCGAAGCCCGACGGGACTGACTGTGCTCAGCAGACTGCAGGGGCCTCTAGAAAGGAAACCCAGAGACTCCAGCACGCTGGGCCCTCCCCCGCCATGCACGTGTTCCCTCTTTTTCTCTGAGGACTCATCACATGTCACAAAAATGCAGCTCCCAGTCTCGCTCCCCATTGCCCAGGCTGGAGGACAGTGGCTCAACCATGACTCACAGCCTGGACCTACAGGGCTCAGCGGAAGCTCCCACCTCAGCCTCCCAACTAGCTGGGACTACAGGTATGTGCCACCACATCGGGCTAATTTTTGTATTTTTGGTAGAGGCAGGGTTTCACCATATTGCCTGGGCCGGTCTCAAATTCCTAGTCTCAAGCGATTTGTGTGCCTCAGCTTCCCAAAGTGCTGGCGTAACAGGCGTGAGCCACTGTGCCAGACTCTAACTTTTTCCAGATTAAACTTATGAAGTCTCTAATCCAAAAGGCTCCAACCTGAAACTTTTTGAGTGCACACCACAAGTGGAAAATTTCACACCTGACCTTATGGGACAGGTCACATTCAAAACTCTGGCTCATGCCCAAATTACCAAATAGCATATAAAATCACTCCCAGGCTATGTGAATCAGCTGTCTATAAAACATAAACGGATCTTGTGTTTACAGTTGGGACTCATTCCCAAGGTCTCATTATATTATATATATATGCAAATATTCCAAAATCTGAAAAAATCAGAAATCCAAACACTTCTGGTTCCAGGCATTTAGGACAAGGAATACTCAACCTGTATTACTTGTGTAGTAGAACAGAAAACAAAAAAAGATTTTGTCTTTTTTTTTTTTTTTTTTTTTGAGACAGTCTCTCACTCTGTCACCCAGGCTGGAGTGCAGTGGCATGATCTTGGCTCACCACAACCTCTGCCTCCCAGGTTCAAGCGATGATTCTGCCTCAGCCTCTAAAGTAACTGGAATAACGGGTGCGTGCCACCACACCTGGCGAATTTTTGTACTTTCCATAGAGACAGGCTTTTACTATGTTGGCCTGGCTGGTCTCAAACTCCTGACCTCAAGTGATCCACCAGCCTTGGCCTTCCAAAACGCTGGGATTATAGGCGTGAACCACCGTGCCCAGCCAGAAAAAAAGTTTAAAAAATCAGAGCTTCCACTATTGCCAAGCAACCCTGCAGGCCCGCCAGACACTGTGCAGCTGTTGAACATG